CCACTACTCTCATGTTGTTTTACTTATACCATGATGTAGCATCTGTGTGGCCTCGCGGTCGCTCAGTTCTAGTTGTAAACTTGGGCTTTTGTCTGGGTGAGCTACGTGGAAGACATCGTCAGGTGGGGAGTTTGGCTGGGGCGGCACATCTGTTAAATGATAACACAGGTGTCCTAAGGTGAGCTCAATGAGAACAGAAATCTCATGTAGAACAAAAGGGTAAAAGCTCACTTGATTTTGATTTTCAGTATGAATACAAACCGTGAAAGCGTGGCCTATCGATCCTTTAGTTCTTTTGAATTTTAAGCTAGAGGTGTCAGAAAAGTTACCACAGGGATAACTGGCTTGTGGCAGCCAAGCGTCCATAGCGACGTTGCTTTTTGATTCTTCGATGTCGGCTCTTCCTATCATTGCGAAGTAGAACTCGCCAATTGTTGGATTGTTCACCCACTAATAGGGAACGTGAGCTGGGTTTAGACCGTCGTGAGACAGGTTAGTTTTACCCTACTGATGAGTTCGTTGTCTAAACAGTAATCCAACCCAGTACGAGAGGAACCGTTGGTTCAGATAATTGGTAACTGCGGTTAGCTGAAAAGCTAGTGCCGCCAAGCTACCATCTGTAGGATTATGGCTGAACGCCTCTAAGTCAGAATCCATGCTGGAATAGACGATAATCACCTTTCTCGATGTGCCGCGAATAGCGATAGGTGTCTTCTGGACACCCAACATCATACAATTGCAACGCACTTCGCTGCCTGTCAAGTACTGGCGGTGGAGAGTAGGCTGATTTGTAATTTCAAATATTGGGAAAGATAAATCCTTTGTAGACGACTTAACTACAGAACGGGGTGTTGTAAGCATGAGAGTAGTCTTGTACTACGATCTGCTGAGATTTAGCCCTTGTTCTATTGATTTGTTCAGAAATGAACATTTCTCCCCCCAATTGCAAACGCGCAATGTTAAAACTATAAAGTTAAGCAGTCGAAATAAGGCTGCGTAAAAGTGATTTACTTTCGCTATGGGGCGGCGAAAGTAACCGGTCAAAGTGCTGGTAGAGAGTTAATACTGTTAAGCTTAAGATCGTCAAAGGCTTTGTTTTGGCTTAGTGAGGTTTGTTCGCAAAAATCGCTAAGTGCCGCTGCTATTGTTTTCCGAGCCAAATTCGGCGACCTTAGTATCGGGTTTATAACAGGCAGAAAGCGAGAAACACTTTGCGTGAAAATCGCTAAGTGCCAGCGCTAATGATTTCTGAGCCAAAATCGGAGATTTTAGTATGGGGGTTTAACAGGGCAAGCTAGACGGCAGGGCGTAAAATTAGACTTGGTTTAAGTATGTTAAAAGAGAGCGAATAGCGTGAATTAGACTTAGTTTAACTATGTTAAAGAGAGCGGAATAGCATGAATTAGACTTGGTTTAACTATGTTAAAGAGAGCGGAATAGCATGAAATAGACTTGGTTTAACTATGTTAAAGAGAGCGGAATAGCATGAATTAGACTTGGTTTAACTATGTTAAAGAGAGCGGAATAGCATGAAATAGACTTGGTTTAAGTATGTTAAAAGAGAGCGAAATAGCGTGAATTAGACTTGGTTTAACTATGTTAAAGAGAGCGGAATAGCATGAAATAGACTTGGTTTAAGTATGTTAAAAGAGAGCGAAATAGCGTGAATTAGACTTGGTTTAAGTATGTTAAAGAGAGCGGAATAGCATGAAATAGACTTGGTTTAAGTATGTTAAAAGAGAGCGAAATAGCGTGAATTAGACTTGGTTTAAGTATGTTAAAGAGAGCAGAATAGCGCGAATTAGACTTGGTTTAAGTATGTTAGAGAGAGCAGAGTAGCATGAAATAGACTTGGTTTAAGTATGTTAAAGAGAGCAGAATAGCGCGAATTAGACTTGGTTTAAGTATGTTAGAGAGAGCGGAATAGCGTGAATTAGACTTAGTTTAAGTATGTTAAAGAGAGCGGAATAGCGTGAATTAGACTAGGATAAAGTATGCAAAATGAAGCTGAGGACTTTGTGAAAAAATGCGAAGTTGCTTGCTGTTCTAATTGTATGGGTTTGGAGATGTTTTTGGCTTGGATTAATAACAGGCAGGAAGCGCGAGGAAACGCAGCGAATATGGACGCGTACGCGGCAGGTGACGGCGGAGGAAGCGCGGATATGGAGGTGAAAATGGTGAAGGTGATGGCGCGAGGAAGGTGACGGCGCATGGGTGTGAATATGGAGGTGATGAAAGGTGACGGGAGGAAACGCATGATGTATATGACAAGTTGGTGTCGTACTTAAGCGGAGCGCGCGCTGTGCATGTATGAAGGTGTCGAAGGTGTTCATATTGCCTAAGACGCGTACGTGCACATGTCATGTCGCATAGGAAGCGTAGGTATGGTTGTGCAAGTCGTAAATGGCCACTTTGGTGGTTTAACATTGTTTCCAGGCCGCGTATGCGCAAATATGGGGTGCGGCGGCTATCTGCACTGCTGTGTATGAAGGTGTCGGTCTGTGTGGGGTTCCTATCGGAGAGAATACGTATGCTGCGTTGTAGGAGTGAGCTGCTGGCCACACGTTTGTATTGGAGTGCGCCACACCACCCCCCCTTTTTGTTTTGTTACTATATAAAGTGTAGCCATCCACCCAGCCAATTCTGAGGGCCAGAAGGGGTATTGGGGGCCATCGTGTGCAGTCTATGGCCACGTATGTGGACATGTGAGTGTGTAAATGTGTTGTACCAATGTATACGAGTGATAAACACTAATAGGCGTGTCGGTCAAAGTCAAATGTAGACGGCCATCTTAGGCTGAAAGCACCATATCCCGTCTGCTCTGTGAAGTTAAGCAGCCTCAAGCTCGGGTAGTACTCGGGTGGGTGACCACCGGGGAAGTCCGGGTGCTGTCTACTTTTTAGCCCGTTTTGAGCTGTTTACCGACTTTGCGTGTGTTTGCAAACGCAAGATATGATGTCTGACATGTGCCCACACGACATCTTGGTTTTAGTATGCCTGGCGAGCCACTACACACGAGATCTTGTTTTTTGTATGGTGTTCTTTAATTTGATTATTATGAAGATGAAAGAGAACTGTGAGCGCCAATTAGTGCAATATACGCTATAAGCGCTGATGGTACAGATAACATGGTTTTGCGTGTGCCCACGTGAGCGAGTGCACGTGCCATCTACGGTGACGCGTATGCAGATAGGGACGGCCAGCTTGCAGAGGTACACAGTACATACCTCGTGCTAGTTATTATATGAAAGCGCTACGCTCTATAGGTGCGTCAACACGGTTGGTAGCGCCACAGTCAGCTTACAGTATGTGCGACCCCAAGCCTTGCACCGTCAGCCAGTATACGAAACTATGCGGGGTAAGGGGATATAAGGATGTATATCCAGATTACCTGCTCTTCTGCTGCTTCTTTTGCTCAATGTACCTGACGTTTCGGGCGGTCAGCTTGCGAGGGCGGCTGTGTCTATTTTTCTTCTTGAGGTACTAGTCAGGGCCCATCACCTTCTCGACGTTTGGCAGGCTTTCCTGGCGGCGCACTTCGGCCGAATCAGGTGGTGGAAGCCTTTCCTCCCAGAACTTAACCGCTTTTGGGCCGTTCTTGCAGGCAATACAGTGTCGCACGCTGCCCCGTCCGCTGATTGTACGGAACGCGTAGCCGTACTGCAGCTTCCCGCAACCGACGCAGCGCGCCCGGGCATCCGTCGTAGACCGCTGCGGGTTCAGCAGAAGCGGGTCAATCTTCGCCTCGCATTGCTTGCACGTAGGGCCCACCATTTTGCAAACTGTGAGTATGTTAGCAAATTATATTGTTTTAACCAATTACTTGCGTCCAAATATTAGCCAATAGCACGGTACTGTAAGGCTGGTATTTATTATTAGGCAAAATATTAAAACGTCTTAAAATATTACTATTTGGCTTAGCTTTAATATCTTATTATCAGATTTCCAAACAAATACATACTTTACATGCAATATAAATTGACTAAAACAATTATCTATCGTGCGCGCATGCATTCGTCGGGTACGGTGCACGGGAGCAGATACCGCAATGACCGTGCAGCCGCGCGCCTTCATTGCACGGTGGCAGTGTTGAGTGCCAGGTGAAGTAAAATATATATATATTCGCGAAGTCCCTACAAAAAGCGCTGGTTGTGAAGCCTACTTTAATATTAAAAAAAATACTATCGTCTCTACTTTAGAAAGTCTGTGGAAAATAGCATCTCCGAGCCCTTACAAAATGCAGCCTGTGAACCTTATACTAATAATATTATTGCTATTAATATCGTCTTTACTTTGAAAAGTGTGTGGAAAATAACATCCCAGAGCTCTTACAAAATACTGGTCTGTGAAGTCTACATTAATAATGATAAATATCTTTATTTGAGAAGTGTGCAGAGCTCTTAGAACATAAAGTGGTTACTGTGCCCGATTTGCAGTACATACGACAGGTTTTGCGTAGCTAAATGTCAGTAATCAAGTTTCTGCGCAGCTCGCCTGGCTATTTGCAACCAATCGATGCGCTTCGTGCTCAGCAGAATTTCTGCCATAAATGGTTTTCTTACGTCGAATCACGAGGGCGATAGACGGTCAGATCGTGCGACAGATCCAGTCAGTGTCGCAGGTCAGCAGGTATTGCCCAATCAGGGCGCGAGTTAATTGTGTGACGCTTTCGGATGTATTTGTAATTTTGGCATAGTTAGGTCAAGTCAGAAAGGTAGGCGCGGTCGGTAAGATGGGACGAAAATGTATCAGACAGGCCAACTGTAGCCATGCGAAAAAGTAGGAAAAAGCAGCAAGAGAAGAAAGCGACGGACTGATTGACAGACGGACGGACGGACGGACAGACACGCTGCAAGGTTAGAAGCGGAGCGACTAGCGCTCTGGGCGCCCGCTCCGCGGACGCTAGGGCATGGTTGGTTGGTGTAGTGTGGGCTGTCCGCCTCCGCAGCGCTGCGGCGGATGAAAGAACATTCTGAAATCAAAGCTAATTGTATTATATGTATTACGTGCCCAACCAAGTCCGCGTCCCAAAGATCTCCCTGTACACAATATTGTTGGTGTGTACGTTCCCGTCCTCATCGATGGCCACTGGATCTACAGCAATCTTGATCGCCTTCCTCGAAGTCACTCTCGACAACGCCACATAAAGCTGCCCATGTGCGAAGACCGGTGATTCCAAGTAGATACCCACGTGCTGTGATCGATTGTCCTTGGGCCTTGTTGATAGTCATGGCAAACGCTGGAACCACGGGAAACTGCTTACGCTTGAGTTTGAACGGGAAGTCCTTGTCATCGTCCTCACTATAAAGGGCGATCCGAGGAATGAACACCTTCTTACCCTTGAACGGCCCGGACATAATGCTGGCCTCGATGCTTCTCTCGCGCAGTGACACAACCCGAAGCCGCGTTCCGTTGCAAAGACCTGCGTCGCTATTCAGGTTTCTAATCATGATGATAGGTACTCCAACCTTCAGAACAATCCTGTGCGGAGGGATACCGGAGAAGTTAAGAGAGTTCAAGAACTGTTGCTCAAACATATTTGCATCCGCGACCCCTTCGAGGCTGTCCACCGAGAGATACTCTTTCGTTTCACCTGACAGCCGTTCCGCAACCATGTCGTTGATACGCCGAACACTTGCATTTGTGGGGGCTAGTATGGCTCGCTCAACGAAGTATTCATCGGGTAAATTCTCAGTATCAACGCCCGGGTACACCGCATCTATGAGTGCGTTGACGTTGCGGACTCGTCGGGCTTCTTCAACTTCGTCCAAGTCTCGCTCGTGTTTCTCCTC